TAACACAAAATACAGAATTCATACTTTGATACTTTCGATTCGTGTAATTTATTTAAACAGTAGCTATGGATTTTAATGTTTTCAAAATGCGATATTTAAACGATAATTTTGGTTGTTACGCAAAACGTTGGCCAATAAATAATGTATTTTGACAGAAATATAATTGGAAAACGGATAGTGACCAAAATAAACATGTAGCTAATACAGTGTAGCGTGATACTTGTAGATAATACCTACAGCTCCCAGCTAATACTTTTAGAAGTTTTTTCAAATAATAGTGACATATATATTTTTATCTAATAATAAAAAATTTGATTGCTAATACATTGAAAAATATATGAGTTTATAAGTATAGATTATACATAATTTTGTTACTATCTACATTTTTGCCATACAAATTATCATTATCATTTGATTTTTATTTAATAAAAAAACTGTTGCATAACAACTGCTGTAATTGAAAACGTTTCCCTTGTAAGTTTGAATTGAAGTCTAACATAGTTTAGCTTGCAGTGGTTACTACAAATATTTAATAATGACTTAAACTGGATGACATATTCGTAAATTAATATTATATTTGAATTCATGCTAAGTTGAAATCACTGTTTGTTGAGAAAGTTCATTAAGTTGCCCTTTTGGCGTTTAAATTAATAATAATAAAACATAAAAATGTTAAATGACGTTATAAATTGTGTGACACAGAAAATGAAGTTAATAAAGAAAAAAAATATTTTTTTAATGGGAGTTTTTTTGGTTGACTTTTAAGAGGCGTAATTTATTGTTATTTAAATAGTAATGTCTTTTAAAGACCATTAGTCGAAATGTGTAAAAAGTATCTGCTTGACATTGTATTTTTGAAATAGTTTTCAAAAAATAATTCATTATTATTATTTTGATAATAATATAATTTTTTTTTAATATTAATTTTCTTTAGTTTAATGTAATATCTAGTTACCTTTATATTCATATATTTTTTCCACATCTAATATAAATATCAGTTAAAATTATTTTTTTGTAGTTTTTATTTTTTACAATTTAATATTTATAAAAACTCTGTTTCTTTGTAATTTTCAATAAAATAAGTGATTTTTTAAAGAACAATCACAATTAGTGTGAAGCTTTAAAAAATAAAATACTTCATTTTACAATTTATAATGGCCATGGGATTTATCTTCAACGCTTTATTTATTATTTCAATTACTATTTGTTGAAAGGTAGGAGTTAAAAGTAAAATAGACAACAATTATATATGACGGTAATTTAACGGCGATGACAATTCGACTGACAGTGACGCGGAAAAAAAACAATTGACATAACAGCCTGTTATTTTGTAAAACAACATCAGTTTTACTCATAAATCATTTACTTAAAATTAATTATGCCAAATTTTAATTTACTTTTCTATACTATTTAAAAACAAATTCTAAAAGAATATCGTTCTTTTGAAAAAAGCTGCACGAAAAGTGTATACCGAACACAATCATTTATAAAAATGTTAACCATAATGTATAGTTTGTATTATTAGGTTTCTTTTCACATAAATTGATTTTTTGAAATTCCCCGAAAGAACAAACGAAGTTGTGACGATATTTTCCCTTCGATATATAAAAAAAAAAATTGTATTTACGATTAAAAATATTTGAAAACTCGTTGCCTCTTGTATTTGTAATGAATTGATTGTTTTTTATACAGTAATATACGTTCATAATTGTTAAAAGAATGTGCATAAAATTAAACGAGTATTTAAATAGAAGTAATTATTTATAAATATTTTAAAGTGTCATTCATAGATTTCAATACAGCATTTTTTAATTTATTCAATATTGATTTTTTCATAAATGTGCTTTTAAGTTCATGAGTAAATGTCTGTTTGAGTGTTCAAAATGAAAAGTTTTATGTGAAATGTTAGAGTTTGAATATGGAACCGTTTATAACATTACTAGTCGTTTGTAAATCCCATTCTCCTCGCAAAAAAATTCACTAAGATTTTTAATCATAGTGATATTTAAAGTCATGAACACAATTTTCAAATTAATTTATGTATGTTTGCAATCAAACCAAATTTGTTTAGTTAAATCAAAACTACCATAATAATGAGAATTTGTGTGAAATATATCATACGGTTTATGAAATTCTCTTAATGTTAAAGTTATAGTTCAAGTTCATTAAAATTATGTCATACAATATTTATCTGTGTGATAGTAAAAATAAGACTTAATAACTCGATCAAAAAACAAAGAAATTTTTGTTGTGATCCGTACCCAAGATGACTTTTTTGATATCCGTCTTATTTCGCATTATGCCATTTTTGTAAAAGAAAACTACCGTTTTTTATGGTAGAGATTGGAGGGGGAGTAAAACTTATAAATTTGGATGCGCTGTCAGTGTGATTTGCTTGGTACAACCGACCGCAAAAGCAAAAGTGTTGGTCTAAATGAAGACGGGTGACGATGAAATATCGTTTTTTCAATTTTCTACCATAATCGATCACGAGTTAAGCGGCTCTGTAGGAAAAGAGAACGAGTGATTGGCATGTATGTGGTTTAATGGTCGGGAAGTGAGAGAGAATCAAGATAAATTAACTTTCTGGGGCCAGCTTTTAGTCGAAAACGTATTTTTACGGGAGTATAAAATAATTGTCTGGAATATATATATATATATATATATATATAGTGAGGTTAAATGATTGACGCTCAATATTGACATAATGAAAATTGATGTGATGACCCCAATTAAAATACTATTCTTATTTTATTTTACGACTATTTTTTAATACGTTTAACGTTTCATCGGTCAAACTAAATGCTTATTTGTTAGTCAATAATTAGGTAAAAATAACAAATCATTACATAAGAATAGTTTCAAACCAAAGGAATCGGTTGTGTTTAAAAATACGTAAATACCTTATTTGCAGAGTTCACATGTATTGGTAAAAAACAAAAGTTCCTCGAAAATAATTGTTTTTTTGCAACATAAAGCCATTGCCATTGTTTTTTTGTAAACGCAAGAATGTTATTTGCGTATTGTAAAAGTTTTATTAAAACTTTTTTCGAGAGGCAAACATTTTTAAATTGACGAGTCTTTTTAAAAGTGTTTTATTTTCTTGAACATTTACTCTTAAAATGGCGCCTTAAAAAATTAATCACGTGTTTAATACGTGAGTATGAAAAAAAATTGGCTGGTACTAAATCTGCATGATTAATGAGAATGATATTGTCAATATATAACATCAAAATAATTCTACAGAAATGTTTTGCATTTGCAGTTTTGTTCATTGATTTTTATTTTATTAATCTGTACGCAGAGTTATAATTAAAAACGGTAGCACAGTGGGGTCGCGGCATAGTAGAGACATTGCATAGTAGGGTCCAGTATAGATTTAATCTGACAGTGATTAAAATCACTATCATAAGAAACGCTTCGATGCAAATCTGTAGATAGTGTTTAATTTTAAAAAATTGATGGATAATTGCAAAAGCAACATCAACTTCTATTAAAATAAAATACAAAACCCATAATTATCATACAAAAATAGTATATTTTTCAATATGGTAGCCATTTGCGTATAGAAGATAGATCGTCGGGACAAATTTTTTTTTTTCATTTTGTAGTACATAAAATAAGCTTTAATTTTATATATGTTTAAAGGACGCAGTATTTCCGGAACATTTTCAAAAATTAAGTTGAAAAAGTTATTTTTTGTAAAAAAGTTACTATTTTAAATCCTCCCAGTGAGCAGAATAAGTGTTAGATTTTCAAAAAAAATTATATCAAATGAAAGGGAAATATCTAAGGTTTCAATACAAAAAAATATTATTTTTATTTGTTCATTTTTGAAAAAGTTATGGCAGTTTTAAGTACAAAAAACATCCCGATAAAATGTAATTTTTATCGCAAACATTACATTTTTTTTTAAATTTTCGACAGCCATTTGCACATAGAAGATAAGATGTCGGGACAAATTTTTTTTTTTCATTTGATAGTATATAACATAACCTTTGATTTGATATATGTTTAAAGGACGCAGTATTTCCGGAACATTTTCAAAAGTTCAGTTGAAAAAGATCTATGTTTTTTACAATATTTTAAGTTTTGAACGCCCCCTATATAAGGGGAAATTGTCCAATTTTAATAAAAAGTATGTCAAATGAAAGATGTACTTATAATGTATTTAGAAAAAAAAAATTTGTGCTGATATATACATTTTTCAAAAAGTTATAGCATTTTTAAGTTGAAAATTTAAAATCGAAAATCGAAAATTTTAACACAAAAATAGTGTTTTTTTAACTACGGCAGCCGTTTAAATGTAGAAAAAAAAGTGTCGGGACAAATTTTTTTTTTTCATTTTGTAGTACATAAAATAAGCTTTAATTTGATATATGTTTAAAGGACGCAGTCTTTCCGGAACATTTTCAAAAATTAAGTTGAAAAAATTAATTTTTGTAAAAAAGTTGCCATTTTAAATCCCCCCCAATGAGCAGGTTAAGTGATAGATTTTCAAAAAAATGATATCAAATGAAAGGTAAATATCTAAGGTTTTAGTATAAAAAAAAATTATGTTGATTTGTTGATTTTTCAAAAAGTTATGGAAGTTTTAAGAAAAAAAAGTGAAAAAATTTCGAAAATTAGCGATTTTTAAATTTGTAATTTTTTTGGATATTTCCCCCATTTGCGGGGAACGAGGGAATTTTTTTCAATTTTTAAGGGTAATGTCTTCAACTAGATACGATTTGTGATCTTTTGACGTATTTTTGAAAGAAATCGGTCCAGTGAGAGCTGAGAAAAAGTGGCAACAGACAAAAAAAAAAAAAAAAAAAAAAAAAAACACATCATAGTAAAATTAATACCTTCTCCGCTTCGCATCGAAGCTAAAAATATCAGAACTTATTTAAGATATCTTAAACAAATTAAACAGGAACAAGATAGTCAAAATATTTTGGAGATAATGTACATTCTATGAAAATGTTTATTTTACAATCATTTATTTTTACTTTTTTTAGGTATTTTGATTTGAAGATAGTTGATATAACACAATAACGATATCTTCAAGAATAACAATTTGGCCGCCAGGTAATTTTAATTTTATAAAATACTAAAAATTATTTCATAATGTTGCCAAACGACATTGAATATATTAAATAAATTATATATGAGAGGTAAATGAAAAAAGCCATTTTTATTTTCAAAATTTGATTTTGGTGACAAAGAGTTATATTTTCGTATATAAATGTTATTAATTAAAAATATTGAAATATTAGAATAATGATTATGATTATTATGATTAAATTCTAATCAGCTATAAGATAAAATTTTCAAAAATAGCAATAACCTTACAAGCATGATTCTATTTTATGTTTTAAATGACTGTTTATTTTTCTGTTTTAAGGTAACTTCTCAAGTTTTTCCCAAAAATTTAATAATAAAATTTAAAATATAAATGGCTTTTCTATTATATTTCATTATAATTAAAGATTGCAATTATAATTTTTTGTATTTTAAATTTAAACACTGTTTTCTCAATTAACAACATAGTAACTCGCATTGTTTTTTCCATGTGTCCTTCATAATGTCTATATTATTACCATTTTATTATGTTTTTCTCAATGAAAAATATTTGTTGATTGTGTCTTGTTTTCGAGTAGAATGTTTATTTGAAAACACATAATGTTTGTTTAAATCTGATTTCTTTATAATGATAGGTGACGTATAATAAAGTAAACTTTTTGATTCGAATCGAAAAGGATAAAATTATTTTACCAGATTCCTGATCTAATCTTATGCAAAAAAAAAACTTTTTACTTAAAGTTTAAAGAATAGAAGTCGAATCGATTAAATGAGACATTTATTTTTTAGATATGTACCCATAAGTTTTTACGGCGCATTCATAATTTACCCAAAACTTATCCCATTTAAAGAAGCAAAAGTTTTTTCATCGTTTTAAGTTCACATCATAATTTTACTATTTAAAAGCTTCAGTTTAGATACGAAATACATCTAAAATTTTAATATATTATTAATACTGTATGTCTATGATTTTTTATCTATTTTACAAGAAAAAAATAATATTTTAATCTATTTTTTTTAAATTATTTCTGTTTATAGGATTTATCTGATAACATCTATTATTATACAATACAATAACAACGGTAATTTAATTGGTTCTAAAAACAACAATCGATATTTTCCTTTAAGTATTTTCTTTGACTTAAAACCAATTTATATTAATTAATCGTTTATTAATTCAATACGTTTAACTATATTAAGAGAAAATGATATTTCTTACAATATATTAAACTATACAAATTATTTTTTTCTAAAAATATTTTTCACCGAAGACATTTTAATAGTTTTATTTTTAAATCATTGTCTGTCACAATAAAAAATTTGTACATTAAATATACATCATATCTAATTTATTTAAGTCAATACTAGATTTAGTATTCCAATATACTATAGAATGTAAAAAGGGATCAGAGAAAAATATGAAATTGAAATAATTAATCCATTATATATTATATGAGGCATCACAAAGACTGGTAAAAGGGCTCTCAGTTTTGAAAATTGGCACGGTTAATGCACATTTTATATTGTTTATACGAGTCATTAGTCCAATTTTCTTTGTGTTTATAGTCGATCGAAAAAAGAACAAACGAAATTTTCAATGAGTTCACATTCATTCGTAATTGGATTAAACAATTACTGGCGCTGGTTTCTAATTTATTTGCCATTTGTTCAATATTTAATAATGCTTATATGGTTTTTGTTTAAAAGATATTATTATTTTTCAACGACACAAGTACCTTATGTTGAGGACATACGACGTTCTATTAAACTACGTGTTATTAGTTTTTATTGTCTTACTACGTTACTGTTTACCAGTAAAAGACGTTGTATCAAATAAATTGATAAGCTTTATAAGCTTATGCAGCTATTGGATCATTATCAACATATCATTGTTAAAAATATTGTATCGTCGAAAATTGAAAAAGAACACCTTAATAATTTTACACTATTTATAAAAATCTTTAATTATAATCATCTTTTATGTTGAATGCTAAGCCTAAAAATTTTATACGAATTCATTAGGACTTTTATTCTCAACTGTGTACCTCGATAAGTGTACTAGAAATTTAAAGTAAACAGTACTAGTGTACTGTTTGAAACTAAATAGGGTATTCTGGCGTAGAACAAAGAGAACTTCAATTATTTAAATTATTAGTGAAGTTGACATCCTAAATTTTATCTGTCACTGTCGAGTTGTTCAGAATATCGATTTGATCTTGTGTTTCCTTATTTTAATTTTATAGACACAACTATAATAGTCTACACACGATTAACCGATACAGTTTAGGTTAAACTGATAAATCAATTGACCGAATTTCAAAGCTCATTGCATGACCTTTATATAGTCATTAATCTACCAATGAATGAATGTCAGTAAACATAGACAGTATTTAAGCATATTATTTAATGTTAAAAATGATTTTCGACTAGTAACTGGGAGTACTAATACTTGCACAGTTCATTAATGTGACTAGTACAATGCTTAATCGAGTTATCGTTAAAGTACAATGAATAGTTACAACAATTGAGTATGATTTAAAGTATGAAATGTACTATAGTATATTGTGTCTCATCCAGTAATATTCATATCTAGCTGATACTTTAATGTAAAAATGATCAATTTCGCAAAATATAATGAAAAAAGGTAAAAAATAATTAATTTTCGACTTTGAAAAGGTAACAACTACTAAAAGTTAAATTAATACCCTTACGTATTAAGTTATTAGCACTGTCATTAGTGAACAAAAATAAACTGTAAAATAAATGTCCGATAATCATTTTAGAGTTAATATTTTTCAAGTTATCTTTTTAATGACCATGTAGAGAGTATAAGGGTGCAAAATAATTTTTATACCTTGCGTATTTCTTTGCAGCACTTATTTTTAGTTACTTCATAAGCTAAAACTATCTTTCTCGGTGTTTTTAATAATTATATTTTTTGCGTACATTTATTTTTAAATTAAATTATTAACTTATACTTGATAATATTTAAACATTTAATTTCTCAATTTAAATTCAATATGAGTACTACTGTGACATTAAAGAAAAATACTTCGTATAAAATTTATTTTATATATCCCAAAAGTGTTTCATGTATTATAATAAGTTATAAATTTACTATGAGAATTTAAAGTACCGTTGTAGTTAATACTATTTTAACTACTTTTAACTGCTTTAGGTCAATCGATATTAAGACAATTATTTTTTTAAATTCGCATGTCTTAAATATTTTTTAAAATAGTTACATGCGATGGATTATATTTAACTTATATGTTACTTAGAAGAAGCTTATTGAACAATTTCATTGCTCTCAATGAATTCATAATTTAAAATATTGAAATGGAATAAATAATGAAACTAACATATATTTATAAGTTATCATATTTTATGATGTTATTTTGTGTTAATTGATAATAATAATAATGGTTTTACATTATATTTACTCGCATTTTTGTTTATAAAAATATTGGGATATTGATGTTTTGAAAAGTAATTTTCAATCGAAGGTCAATAAATTAGTTTTAAAATAAGCTACCATTTTTCTGAAACTTTTATTATTTTATATTAAAATTAATGTTATCGAAATAAATGAAATTGATTACTGTTCAAAAATTATAGACTTGCTAGCTATAGCAAAAAGTTCTACCAAAATAAAATATTGATCTTTGATTTTTTTTCTTACAATAAAGGTTGAACTTTTTGTTGTTATATTATTGTTTTAATAAAATTCGCTGAGCTTAAATTATTTGAGTTGATGTGGACAAGGACATATCAAGTCAAATGTTTTTTTTATTTATTCTGATGAAATTTACTTAAAAAATAATAGATGGACTAAAGTTATTGTACTTTATCTTCACAGTTAATCAGGTTTAATATTAAATCCTTAGTTTGAAAAACCTAAAAGTTGGTATTGAAGATTAATTACCTTTTAAATTTTTAAAGATAAATACGTCATGTTTAAATGTAGACGTTATTTTCTTATCTTTAACGTAAATATTTGACTGAAAGTTTCTTTAAAGTTTCCAACAAATAATTATTTAAAATTGCAGCTGGCGATTCAAAGGTTTTTCAGAAATAAGTTGAGAATCATAAAATACCTTTGTACCTTTTTCTTAATGGTATACATTGGATTTCTTAATTAACTAATTAAAATATAATATATTTTAATATTAATTACAATATTATTTTAATTTATTCAAAATGGTCGAATAAGGATAGGACACTCCTTTTCTTGGAAAATAGAAAATTTTTAATTTTTGTAACGAAAAATATTGTTTAATTTAAAAAGTTCTACAATAATATTTTGTTAAATATTATTTTTTCATCCCTTTAAGGTTACAAATCGAATCTTTCTTATTTTAATTTTCTTCAATGGGAATCCCTATTATAAATAGTTTAAAGATACGATAGAAAAAACTTTAAACAATTTTTTACTGAAAAAATTTTTTATTCAATGAAACTTTTTTTCTGTTATTAACTGTTAAATTTAGTTTTTATTAACAATTTTTGTTATCAGATCTGTCTGTTAGGATAGCAAGAATAAAATATGATAACAAATTATCGCTCTATGAAACAGATTATTGTTTGTTCCTTTATTAGGAAAATCGTATTGAAGATGAATTTCTATTTCAAACTCAAAACTTAAAATAATTTTTAAAAGACAATCGGTTGTGTCAGACATAAAAATTATTCGAAATTTTGTTTTTTTTTTAGATCATTAAGCTAAAAGTAGGGATTCCTATTACAGAAAATAAAAGTTAAGGGTTTTTAGCTCTTAAAACTTTTAAACTACATGCTACTGTATATTTTTTTTAGATTAAACAATACTTTTCTTTATATAAATTAATAATTTTTAATAGTTTCAAAGTTTATGCGTGTCACATTTTTTATTAAACACTCTGTACACTACATGTATTATTTAATTTACAAAGGCTCAAATCATTTAAATATTAACAGAACATTTTTTTAATTATAGCAATTTTTATATTTAAGAATTTTTTCTTGAT